TGGAAGAGTTCAAATGTGTCTTCAGGGGTGAATGAGTTAACCTGGCAAGTATATGGAATTATTTTTATCTTCCATATTCAAATAACTGGTACTTGCAGAATGTTTGACTGTAAAAACAGTAGTATAAACTCTACTAACCTTTAACCTCCTGTATTGACTTTATCACAGCCTCATTTACATCCTTTGCCATGTGTTTAGCATCCCCACACACAAATATTTTGGCCCCTTTGTCGATCAGGGGAACTAACTCTGCAGCATGTCTACAGATATTGTCCTGGACATACCGCGGTTTATCAGAGTCTTGTTCATCACGTGAAAAACACACACACATCCTTGACAAGATTCCAGTCTCCTCAAATCTAGCCAACTCTCTTCTATAAAATACAAAATCCATACAAATATATTTTTTATACCATTTATGAATCAACTTTGGGGTTAACCAAACAATAAAACAGCATTACATATCCATGTCAGTATATTAACTCTTTGTGGCTAGCTTCAAAGCATACTTAGTGTGACTAAGGATTAAGAAAATATGGTCTGTAACAAACTCAATGCATAATAATAATACTTTCAGGAGGTCACAAAATATTTGGTATTACAATATTATTAAACAGTGTTATATGGTCTGAAAACTGGCTGTATTGCGACAGTAAGAGTCACAAGGTGTGCAATAATTACACGGATATTTGAGACATGTGGACTTTTTATACATGTACAGTACTAATTTTTCCTATGACTCACCTGTACAAGAAATCTTTGTCTCTATGACGACAGCCAAAGAAGAGCCAGGTATCTCCGTACAAAGCAGGATCAGCCATCTTGGCATGGAGGGCCTCCCTGTGGCGCAAGAAGCCAATGAACGGAGCCACACCCGTCCCAGGTCCTACTAAGATCAGCGGCACTGTCAGGTCATCAGGCATGTGGAAGTGTTGACTTGTCCGTGCAAATATAGGAAGCTAAAAGTGGCATACATAAATCATTAATTAAAACACATTGGTATAACACATTTCTCATTGCTACATATGCAAAACACGAATGTCTCATGTGAGCCTCCATGTAAAAGTTCTCTTTTTCTTGGTCCTCTAAAAAAACAGGGGATACAAATTGTCATTTATGTTTAAAGCAGGCATGTTACTTTGTTTTAATACATTTGGTTATTGGAGGAAATTGGGGCCAAAAATTGATTGCTCCCTCAGGAATTTTCTCTGTCCTATCTTCAATGTAGGAAAAGATTGTATTCATCTTGCATACCCATGTGTGTCTAATAGAACAATCCTATGTAAAACATAAGTCATGTCGGAATGTAAATGGCCCTGGTTATATAATCTCCTACCCCTTTTGGGGATGAGACAGTTCAATTAAGATGACTCAGTGAGGTAGAAGATTCTTAAATTGCCAACTATAGACAGTAAGTCTAAGTATTTCTCCCTGGGTTTTTTTCTGTCCAAACCTATTCCTTTCAATACATGTAGATACTTTTTCAACACAAAAACAATCATAAAAATGTTCAAGTCAAGCTTTTAAAGTAGTTATGATTAGTTAATAATTAGGTAATGATTTTTTGTCCCTTTCAAATTCATCATTTAGTTTTTGTTTAAAATGTGAAAATACTTGAATTTTACATAAAGTAAAAGTAATTTATCGATCTGCTGTAGATGAATCTGTTATTGCCTTTTCAAAATTTATATAAATAGTAACCTTCATCGGTGATAACTGTAAACTGGCAACTTGATCAGAAATGTCCTCCTCTGGTGATGATACACAATGGTCACCATAGGACTTCTGTATAGGTCTGGTCAGTCGGTCAAGCATTCCTGTACACACACCAATTCGGTCAAACACACGACCACTTCCACTAGAGATTTCCACAACATTGAAGGTCACCTCCAATACACCAGGGTCAGCTACAGGAGAGCTGTTAAATTGAAAACAAACCTAATCTAACATAAAGGCTACATTCACGTATCCCGGTTGAAACGGTACGTGTGGCACAGAAATATTTCACGATAAACGAACGCACTTGGACCGTTCTATAAGCAGAGCTAAA